GGCAACGGGATCTTTACTCTAATAAGTTAAATTTTACACGTCGTAAGTTCCAAACATTACAGATATATGATCATTTACGAACTCTCAGAAGTGATGGAGATCAAACGGGGTGTGAGTACCTGATGGAGAGGGCAGTGACAAAAGTAACAGAGGGGAACACCCAGTCCCACGTCCACTATCCCCAGCGGACAGCTATGGGGCAACCTGAGAGATGCCGCGCGGCGATGAAAGGATCTATCGCTTCCCGCACAGATGCGGATGGCAGGAGCCCCTGTAAGAAAAGGCTGTGCAGCGAAGGTAACACTGCAGTGGCCCTTTCTCCGGTCAGCTCCCGCACGATCAAAGGCCCAAGTCTCTCAGATATGTGCAGCCTCTCTACGGCGGTGAATGGGTGGAGAAGCTCCAGCCATTGGGTGCTATTCGTTTCGTCTTGCCAACCCGGTTGCAAACATTCTCCTCCTTTGATGTTGAGCCATTTCACATTGGAGAGCAGAGGCAAATATTGACTGCATATCTGCGCCACGGAAGAAATTTGGCGATTTGACCCTCCACATAAGATTCGCAATGATACGTGTCTGGGACGAACTGTCCCTTCTGACGAACCAAAGACGATCTTGGCGAGGCTGTGGTAAAAGCTGACCGTGGCCCGATTTAATGATCTGAGTTTTCTTGAGTGGCCGATGAATCGGAAGAGTTCTGGAATGTCAAACTGTGCTTCTTCGAAGAACTGTGTGTTGATGTGATTGAGTTGAGGGGCACGAATTCGGGCCACCAAGTCCTCTATGTACTCGCTGGCGCCCCGAAATGAAAGAAAGGTGAGAGAAGGGAGGACGGCGCGGCTAAACGGAGGTGGCTGTCGTGCCATTCGATTAGGGAGGGGAGTCGGGGAAGTGAACATGATGATAAGCCATGTGAGCCTGGGCAGTGCAGACAGACTAACGGTGAGCGTCTCAGGTGATATGCAGCCAGTGGTTGGGATGTCCGCAAGGTGGAGAGAAACAAGGTCATCAGCAGAGAAAAGAAGACTTGGCAGTGTTGGAAATGAAATGCCCTGCAAGATGAGGTATTGTAGACGTGGGGCAAACTGGCCCATGAACGCCTCAGGAAGAACCGGTGCTAGACCACCGATCCCATCATTTGACCTGAGCTCTAGAAATGTCAACACAGGAAATGGATCCTTCATCATTGTGACAAAAAAACCCAGTAAAGGGCCTGTCAAACCGGACAGCGAAATCCAGCGTGCTTGATCACGGCATCTCAGCGCTGCGATGATGTTTCCCCAACCCATGAAAGTGTGGCTGATAGACGATGCAATATGCTGACAGTCGATGATGATAGGAAAGGTTGGGAAAACATCAAGCATCTCCATCACAGGAGTTCTCGCTGTACAGATGAGTCGTGGATCCAGAAGGTGTGGTGATGCGAGGATGATTTGTCGCCATCTTGAACACACATGAACCAGTGTGTACCAATTCCAAGTATAGTCACGGTATCTGACGACGGCCAATCGATAAAAACGAAATATTTCCAACAGGACATTATCGGGGAGTCGTCCAATCGTCATGCGTGGGGTAAACCAATCTACGTCATATACTATTGACCATGATGACAGTTGCAGGGAAGACGCATTATGCATACCTAGTCCCCCTTGTTCTACAGATTTATTCCATACATGTCCCATATACGTTCCCATTCTTGAGCCCTGGGATGGTCCATCTACTGCTGGCGTCAAAGAGGCGTTGGGGAACGGAAAGTGGGTGACACGATCATTTGCGTCGTCGGAGAACGCCCAGCTGTTCAGTCTTCGAGATTGCCTGACCAGAGACGACGCCAGAATCAGCTCCTTTTTTGATGGAGAAAACGAGGGCTTTGGACGTACTGATGAGAGTCCATGAATGGCAGCGGTGCCACTTCAGTTATGACGAAGGGTAATGGTAGGTATGCCACTTTACCGAGACCCTAGGACCGCAATCCTAGTCCACGTTAAGCTCACGTGTATGTGGCCACATCGGACACGAGCTGATTAAAACTGGCAAGTCACGTATCGCAGTAGATATGACCAACTCGGGATCGCACGGGCGTACCTTTTTCCTACAGACAACGACAACACGGCGGATGAAGCGTGGGGACCGTGGGAATGTATTTGGCGCCGCCAGTCTAATTCTGGATCACATTGCGGCGCCAAGGCGCCAAGGGATCGCCCCCGTGTTGTTTTCGTTTTCCCGTCTACGTTATTTGTCGCTGAATACCTCATACCTCCTATTAACCCCCGTTTAACTTTGTGCTTATGAGTCCCATTGAGAAATGAAATGTCAGCGCGTCGCGGAAATGCGGATCTCGGAAATACCCGGAATGACGATAGGGGTGTGTACCAACAGCACAGGACTTTCGGCGCCATTTCTACTCACGCGTGCTTTTGTACCGAGTATTCTGTGCCTTTGCACAGATGATCCCCGCGCGCGCGTTCATCGAGCTCAAACGTCGGCCCATATCTACAACAGACGCCCCCCCCCCCCTAACATAGCATCTTCGCCTCGAACCGGTAGCTGCTCGTCGCAAGCGTGCGGCTAAAAACGTCGGACAATTAGAATTAGTCATTGTCGCATGGTAGACGCTCTATAGACATATTCTTTCTCTATCACGGATGCAATATAGATCCAAGAAAGCGATCGACGAGATGCATTCATTCAGCTGCATGCGTTGTCCCTGCCTGATTGGCCCATCGCGTAGAGGAGGTCCTTGTCGCCGCTCTCATCGACCAGCGAGCGGAACCTACCATTCTCTTCTTTGAGTAGCTCGCTGGGCTTGTCAAATTCGACCTGGATCGAGAGCATGGGGCAAAAGGATGATGGTCGGCCCAAGGGTCGGTCGTGAGCTTTGAATACAAAGGAAATGACAATGATACTTACGATGCGGCCTGCGTCTAAGACCATTCAATTTGTGTACTCTGTAGTTTACACTCGGAATTTTACGTAGGGAAGGAAGGCTACGTACAACTTTATCAGCGTCGATGATCGTTTGTAGACGGTGTGCGACCGTGATCAGAGTCACAGCTCGTTCCGAAGAGACGTCTGGATGATGGTGTCTGTCTTGTAATCTGTGGCCCACGTTAGATTGAACAATTACTAAGAAAAGAGGGAGGGGGCTGGGCCCTAGAAATAGTGTTGCCGCAGAGTCATAGAGTCGCCCAGAGTTGTCGAGTTGGGGACTCTGAGTCAACCAGAATTAGATTGCTATATTGAGACCACAATAGTCTTAAAAAGTTACTAGTGAGCGCGTGACGTAGCGGTGTTTCTGGTTACATGGTCTTCGGTTGCAACCAACCGAGACGCGGAGCTCATTTTGCCATGTGATTAGATGCGGAATCAGGCCAACTGTTAGCAGCGTAATTAGCAGCGTAAGAACCGAACTCTTTCATCATAACTCACAATCCACCATCGTCATGCCACAACTACACCTATATCCTCTCCCCTATACCTTACCACAGCCACCCGCACAGCTTTTTCGTAATATAGATACAGAATCAGGACCCTCCGACACGGTAGCATTCAATAGAAACCTTGATGACCGCGACGTGTTCCTAGGGGAGCGCAGATGTGTGATTTGTGGGCAGAGCAGTTCGAGAACGTTGCAACATTGTCATATTGTTGGTCGCTTGGATGATGCAGCGGTTCGCCTCACGTGTAACTGAACTCGCCCGCGGGACTACTTATCTTCTTGTTAGTGGTCTATGCTCAAACGGTTGGAATGGGTCCCAGCCACTGCCAAAGGGTCACCTGAGCATGAATCCCGTAATGGGTTAACAATGTGCTCGAATCACCATCTGGAATTCGATAATTGGGAGTTTTTCATTCGTTTTCAGCCCGAAGTGGGTCTCAGTCTTTTTTTACCTTTTGTGCTACCTATTGATGGCAACTAGACCGGGAAGTATATCTTCGTCCACTACGATAGTTATCGTACGTCTCGAGCTCTTGAACCGTTCCATGGCAAGGCCGTTGCCCTTGACTTCAAGGACAACCGCGCACCACTCCCTCTCCTACTTCTCGTCCACGAATATATGGTCCGCGGGAGGAATTTCTACCAACCAACACCTGACGTCGAGGTGGCTAGCGGTTGGCAGGATTGGATAATTAATGATGGTGTGGTGAGCGAGGGAGACAATGGATCATTCGCTTTTAAACGCTCGGCTCCGACTACTGGCCCTCCCGCCAGTCAGTCTACGAATTTGCCAGCGCCGCGCACCGCTGCTCCACCTTCTGGTTCTCGAACTTACATTATGCCACCTACCGCTGACCTCGTCGCGCAATTGATGGCGGCTCAACGTACGTTACCCAGTTGGAAGTCGGCCCAGATGGAGAGCATGAGTTGGGACGGAACGGCGGAAGAAAACATAAAGAAATATGCGGAGAACGTCGGTGTTGAGTCGACTGGATGAAAGGACCCCTTGTTTTGTATTTATTACTGTAATATTGTATCATCAGGAATTCGAGAATTGTACCATCTTTTGTTGTGCAGAGTCTCGACAGGCGAGGCAGAGCGTTTCTCTGGTTGCCTGCTGTCTGGAAGTCGTTTAAAGACCCGAATGCTGGATCCAATCATGCCTCACTGCGAATTCCTTTTCAAGTGGGTCCAATCTGGCGAACGCAGTTGGAATATGCTTCACGTTGTTTCTACAGCTCCCGAAAATGGGCGATTACCCGCCTACATTCACTTGGTGGCGTGCATCATGGCATGATATCTCCTATGTCTCGTATACGCCTGAACTTGCGTCGACAAATAACAATGCCCCATAGTAAGATACATCGACATCGAAGTTCTATTGGATGAACGGTAGATGGTGCTGCTGATGGTTGGGAGGATGAATGACAACACATTAGAATACCGGCGTACCTGGTCAGAATATTGTATGGTAGTACCCTGGTCAATCCTCGAACATGGGATGATTTGGTGCTTGAGTTGAGCGTGGCAAAAGGGATTTCTGGAACGAAATAAAAAGGAATTGCATCGTCCGGGAATCGAACCCGGGGCGGATCGAAGTGGTCTGGCCATTTTTATCAACCTCTTGGTGGCAACGATCCAGGTTACCACTACCCCAACGATGCGTTGGAGAACCTGCTCGATATGTGCCTGCTGTTGTAGCACGCAGCACGTAGCTGTGGTAGTCAATATCGTCAAATGGCTGGTATGATGATAAGCGAGTTGTGGTGCGAACGTCTTGGGCTACAAGGAAAAGCATGTAAGTACTTGGGCTCTAGGGTGTAACGACTCGTTAGCCGGATGATCCCTACAGGAAAGTTCACACACGTCATCGTGGATGTGGGCCCACCAAGGACGACACGAAGCCACCGCTACACCTGTAACGGCTCTTGCTGCTACTGTGGTTCCGCCATACAGCAAGAGAGAAAATTCCCCAGCGCCTGTGCCTCATGTCTTTGACTAAATGTCAATCGTTTGGAGTTGCCAAGTCAACACAATCCGAAGCGCGTGCACCTGGGGACGTGTGCTACCAAGCTAGGAACAAGTTCTCCATCTGCAGGTATCAGACTGCAGGTGCGCTAAGTACAGCCGGTAAGTGCGAACTACACCTGATAGTCAAAACATTTTGTGCCTAGGTCGACTGAGTATAGCTGGCATAGGTCGGCACCATATTATCACAGAGCTACGCTGCACGGCAGCGTGTGCCTCTTGAATCGGGGTGGAGGAGGGTGGTGGACCTCGCGAGCTGATGCACCCAGAATGATGTGAAATCACGGCCGGTCCGGAGCACTTAGTCACGTAAGTTACGGCCCGTGCCGCGTCTTCAAAGTGAGGTTGGAGTCTGCTACGTTATTTCTTCATGTCGCTGAGGCATGCGGTAAAGTCACTTTACCGTGATCTTGCAGGCCACTACTCAGCCCGTCATTTTGCTTCAGGTGCGCATGTTATCTACTACAGGAATAACACCCGACGAGTTAATACTTCAGTCACACCTGGGCCATCTCGCACCCGTCTCGTCAAGGATCTTACACCGAGGCCAGCACCGGGTCTCCCACGAAAGTCGACACGCAAGCTGCTCGAGGTAGCCCCACGTGATGCATCGTCAAGATTCAAACGGGACACCGCTCCGCACTGGGCAAGGCGTGGCAAAAATCCAGCTGCGCGGTTAGCAGGAGAGAAAGAAGGACGTTTGCGTCGGACATCTCTCAGAAGCTGGAAGGGCGTTAAAAATGGCAAACCTAAGACCCGGAATGATGGTGTCCGGACACGAATGCGTACCCACCCTGCTTCTCGTATCACTCCCGAGTTCGATTTCTCAACAACACCCGAAGCACTACATACACTTCCTCCTACCTTTTCATCTCCCCCACTCTCACCTGGTCTCCTGCAATCCGTGCAGGACGTACTGGGTCCGAATGCGCGCCCAACACCAATTCAGTCCCTCTCATTAAAACATCTCTTCGTCACTCGGCCCTCCGACGCATATCGACGTTTCCTGCTTGCATCTGAGACGGGCTCAGGCAAGTCGCTCGCTTACCTCCTTCCGATGCTGCACGACCTCAAGGAGACCGAACATTTGCGGCCACGTCGCACCGGGCCGCGGGCGCTCGTGCTGGCACCAACTCATGAACTTTCCCGTCAGCTGACGAGTTTTGGAAAGGCACTAGTCCACCATTCTCGACTGCGCGTGCAGAGCGCGTCACGCGCGAACGTTACAAGCCGGGTGTCTGCTGCGAAGATGGTCGATGCTTTTGACGGCACTGATGCTGAAGGCGAGTTCGATGTGCGTCCCGGGAACGGAACAGGCCATGCCTTGGATGTGCTCGTGGGAACACCTGCCAAACTGCTTGAGATGGGATGTAGAGGTGAGGACAAAAACTTTCTTGAGAGCGGGGAAGCGCGACGCAAATCTGTCCGCCTTCCTGAAGTCAGCCTTTCGGAAACCGAGTGGGTGGTCATCGACGAAGCGGACGTCCTTTTTGGTGCGTGGGCTTTATAATCCTTCTATTCAAAAGTTGAAGTGTATGGAACAGATCCCGATTTCATCGACCAAACACTCCTCCTGCTGAGCGAGATCGCTGCTGCGCGGGGAAAGCCTGTCCCTGCTATCAGCCGTGACGGGGGAAACAAATCACAAGCACCTACTCCATTCGACTATCCATTCAACCTCGTTCTCACGTCCGCAACAATCCCCGCTGCTCTGGCCGCTCACCTTGACGCTCACCATCCGACAATGACCCGTCTCGTCTCCCCGCGACTTCACCAACTCCCCACGCACCTCGCGCTCGAATTCGCCCCCTACAATTCGGGCAACCGCAATGCGGCGGTGCTCGCAAAACTTAAAGCGGTTTGGCGCGATGACGCGCTCGCCGGTCGACCCCGCTCACGAATAGTCATCTTCGCCAACACGCGGGTTCGCGCAGGCGAGATGGGTGCATACCTCTCTGAGCACCGCGTGTCCTGCATCGTCGTTACAGGCCAGGGCATCAAGGGCCGGGGTGACGGGCCAGGGGGAAGTGGACAGCGCGTGCATGGGTCGAACAAGCACCTCGCGGGGTTCCTCAAGCCCATGCCAGACAAAAAGAAGAGCCCCTCGCACTCAGAGCCGCCATGCGCGGGAGACAAGGAGGGAAAGCGCGTCGCGGTGGCGAGGGAAAGACCAGGACAACAGGACAAGTCGCCGCGCGTCCTGCTGGGCACCTCGCTCCTCGCGCGCGGCCTTGATTTTGACCCGAGCGTGTCCACGTGTTCGTTCTGGACCCCCCGCGGAACACGGCGGACTTTCTTCATCGCGCGGGACGAACGGCGCGCGCGGGTCAGCGTGGGAGGGTGTCGTGTTTGGGAAGGGCGGTGGGCGCGGCGCCGGGAAGTTCCGTGAGATGCGCGAGCAGCTCGCTGCCCTTAGGGCCCGGGCGTCAGCACGGTCATGATCTTTGACCTTTGTGCGCCCGTGTGTCCAGTCCCTAAAGCGCTCAACATTATCAAAATGTCCGCTATTCCTCGTATCCCCACTATCATATCGTGGTTTTCAAAAACCAAACTGTGAGTAGTGGGCACCCTGGTTGCCAATTTGATAACCATGCACGATCCTACCACCGCATTAATTTATAGCATTTAGAGCCTAGCCCATCGCGTCGTGTCGTACACTTAAACTATTATGCATCATCCGTCATTCACATGCATTGAGCTGCTCAGACCTAGCGACAAGTCGCTCCACCCCACTGACCAATTGCAACCTAGTGCAACATAAATTTCGTAACAGTGGGTACGATCACAAAAGCACATGCAGCTCCTCCGTGTACTAGCTCCAAGCTCCAAAGCGGTACCGACGAGCTGAGGAGCCATGTCGAGCGAGAACCGAGCGCAAATTCTTCAGCGATCCCCGTTTCTTGTTACACGCGGAACTGGTTCGAATATTTACAAAGTTGCCGGTGCGACGACAACTACAGAGAATCGTTTCTCGTGCTACCGATGGAAGCTGTGATCATCGAAGGACTGAGGTTACTATAATGGCCCATGTCGGACTGGCAGGAAGACTGTGTGTTTGATACGCTTGGAGAGTGCAGAGTCTCGAAGGAGTCTCGACTGTTCGAAGTGAAAGGGGCGGAAGGCGGAACGATACGATTTGGCCGGATCCCATCCTACTTCCTACATTGTCTCTCCCGCGTCCGCATGACATGGATGGATGGGATGGCTGGCTTGCGCCCTTGCGTACGGTATGAAAACCAAATCAATACTTAAACCGGCAACAACTTGAGGTCCTACCCCTGAGCATGTCTATGTCGACAACCACCTTCAGTCACGACTTCAGGACTGAGGTTTTCAAGCAGAAGGTCAGCTTCCCTACTGGCATCTTCATCAATGGGAAGTTCTCTGCTGGGTCCGAGGGCGCCACCATCGAGTAAGCCCCACACTCCACAGTCGCCACCGAGACGCTTCGCATCGCCTATTCTCACCTTTGCCTTTGCGCAGTGTAATCAACCCTAGTGAGCTTGCGGCCTCATAGCGATGAATTACATGCGTTTGACAGGCTCCAAATAGCCAACGGAAAGGTCATCACCTCTGTTTCTGGGGGAACAATTGAAGACGTCGATACCGCCGTCGCCGCCGCTAAGCAAGCTTTCGAAACGTCATGGGGTCTCAATATTCCCGGTACCCAGCGTGGGGAGTACCTCAGCACTCTTGCCAACCTCATGAAGGACCACCAAGACGACCTCGCCGCGATCGAGGCGTTCAACAATGGCAAGACCTTCAGCAGCGCTAAGGAGATGGACGTCCGTCTGTCAATCGAAACGATGCGGTACTATGCCGGCTGGGCAGACAAGATCCACGGACAAGTCATCGAGATACAACGAGACAAGCACGCATACACAAGCCATGAGCCATTTGGTGTCGTCGGGCAGATTATTCCCTCCAACTTCCCTCGTACGTGAACATCTTTTTAGCCACGCATTGCCCTCCACTTGTACAACAAACCACTGACTTCCCCCCCCTTCTGACAGTTCTGAACATGTGTTGGAAGCTTGGCCCCGCTCTCGTCACAGGAAACTGCGTCGTGCTCAAGCCGTCTGAGCTTACTCCTCTGACAGCGCTCCGCATGTGCTCGCTCATCAATGAAGCTGGCTTCCCTCCCGGTGTCGTGAACGTCGTCACGGGCTACGGCCATACCGTTGGCGAGGCCATCGCGAGACACATGAGCATTGACAAGGTCGCATTCACAGGCTCTACGCACGTGGGGCGCAGGATCATGGGTGCGGCAGCAAACTCCAACTTGAAAGACGTCACACTCGAGTTGGGCGGGAGGTCACCCAATCTTGTATTCGACGATGCAAATATCAACGAGGCCGCCGAACGCCTAGCCAGCGGCATATTGTGCGTAGTCACATGAATCATATCTACCCGTATATGTGTGTGGCTGGTACGTTGCTTACTGCGGGCAATCCTTTAGCTTGAATCACGGGCAAACCTGTTCCGGAGGCTCTCGTATCTTCGTTCAGTCGGGGTCCACGACGAGTTCCTCGAACGTTTCACCGAAAAGACGATGTCACTCAAGTTCGGCGACCCCTTCGTGAGCGAGTCGGACCAGAGTCCTCAACTCTCTAAGCACCATCGTGACGTGAGTCAC